TCATACAGGGTTCTCCAGGGTGTGCATAGGGTATCATTGACCCTGTAATTGATGGCCATATTATTTCTGTTAGCATTGAAAATCTCCATTTTTTCCAAATGTTTAAGAATGGCAAGTTTCCTTGAGTAATATAATAGTTCTGTCTGGTCTTTGAGGGCCTGTACAGTGCCTCTGAACTGTCTGCATGGGCATTTAATGTCATTATGTGTTGCATATTTGCAATCAATGTGCAATGTTCCTAGGTGTTGTTGTAGTTGCCTTGTCATCCCCCCAATGTATTTTAGATCAGTCACTTTCAAATTATTTAATCTGTAATCCTGACTCAAAATGACTAGCAATATTTTTTCTTAATTTCTGTGTTTTAGGTTTTTGTAAGTTAATTTGTTTAATTATCTAAGCATTCATGTAAGTTAATTTCATTATATTAAAAAAACTTCACAAAAATATATTTTCAAATTTCTACAAAGCAACTTCTTAAAAATATCAAATCAACAATGTGTTTTATAATGAAATCATAAAATTTTATTATAATTTGTTACTTAAATGTCAGGACAAATTTTAATGCAAGTTAATACTGCTGGTAATATGATGACATTCAAAAACATTTTAGCATAGATCAGTTTTTTCCAAGTCCAAAATATTATTTTATTATAACATTATAGAAGAAACAGTTTTGTTTTGAAAATATTTAATGTTTAAAAATTATTTATAAATTATTAAAAGCTTTAGAACCATTAACATAATTTTTATAATTAAGTTTTTAATAAAATAATCATTCACTTTCTTGTTTCGTTTTCTTTTAATAAGTAGTCATATTCCACAGTCCAAGAAAACTTAATACTTTACTGATTCGGTATACAGGTATACCTCGACTTACATCGTTCCCGATTATACGTCGTTTGTCAAAAAAGTAAATGGAAAAATAAAAATCAAGTTTAAGTCATTTTATTCGACTTTACATCTGTCCGCCACAAATACTGAAGTCATAATATCACTAGAAAAATGTTTAAAGCACAAAAAATCATATTATAATATATACATTTACAAGTATATACTGTATTTACAGTACATGCATTCGTAAATTTAAATTACTTTTTTCTGTACTATATTAAAAACTAAACTTTATTTGTTTGTAAGCTTAAAATAGATCCTTATTAACCATATATTATTAAAAATGCATTAATAAATAAAATACAGAACGGGAATTGATAATTTATGATTTAGCCTAGTGGCAAGTAGATTCGGAGACAAGTAAATTCGACTTATGTCGTTTTTCGACTTAAGTCGTTTTCCTGGAACCAATTACCGACGTAAGGCGAGGTATACCTGTATAATCATTCTAACGATGTTTGCTTCAGTACTTCTTAGTTGGAAATTTTTGTTATTTATACAAATGGTCAACAACCGGTGGTCCGCAAGAAAATTTGGGTGGTCCTTGGAGAAATTTGAACATTGATCAACTGAAGGTTATGCGAAGTATTACAAAATAAATGCAAAATGCTTAATTGCTTTTTACACTCATTGGGGTTTTTTATTTGAATCTAAAACCAAAAACGAAGTGACTGTTATCAATAAATAATGAACAATAAACAATATTGTGAGTGCGATTGTCGTCCTTCGTGGAAAAGCGCGAAGAATCCATAAACTTGTTTCAAACAAGCAGCAATGAACTTTAGGCTTGCGTTAATTTGTTATAATTAAGCATGCAAGTTTCACATTAATATAGTAAAATTGAACTTTTGTGATCATTATTATACAGATTTTGTATCGTTTAAAAAAATTCATGATAATGGTCTGCGGGATTCAAAATTGTGACTTTAGTGGTCCGTGAGATGAGAAAGGTTGCTGACCGCTGATCTAGCCTACTATATAAAGAGACAATGTATTTTTCATTTGTGACCATTAACCATTAAAACTACTGAACCAATCATTACCAAATTTTAACTGTAGCATCTTTATGATCCCTGGAATGTTTACCACTAATCAAACCTACAGATTTTTTATTAAATAAAACTGCAATGGATTTTTGTCTGTCTATTTCTCTCTCTCTTCACTAGATGGCAACACATGAATTAGTACTTTCTGTCTATAAGAAAAGTCTATTATTGAAATTTACTATTAAATTTGAAGAACTGACATTAAATTATAATTAGTTAATTAGCAAAATCTTTGAGGAATTAAAAAAGTGACGTCATCATGCTAGATGGCAGTATGTGTACTTAAGGTGGGTTTTCGAATCGTTACACATTAATTTCTGCAGGTAATTGTACAAAATATTCGAAATAGTTATTGGATTTATCTCAAGTGAATATTTTTGAGATTGACTGATAAATAATGTCAAGAGCTGTGACAGCACAAAAAGGAATAAAAAGTTCTAGAGCTATTATTGTTCATAATTGTAGACAATGTGAATCTACAGTAGTGTGGTCTCAAAGACTGGAAGAGCAATGAATTCATTTGGATCAGAATCGAATGCATATAGCAAGGAATTTTTTAAGGTTTCAAATCAGCTTTTGATTATCATCTTGAAAATTACTATTTGGATAGGAAAGAGGTAAAATAATCAAAATATGTGATCATTGTTTTGCCAAAAAATGGTATGATGAAACTCCTGGACTTTGCTGTGTTGCAGGGAAAATTGTTCTTGAACAACATGAAGAACCTCCTGATTTCATTAAAAATATGATTTTAGGAACAGATCCTCTTTCTATACATTTCTTAGACAATTATAGACAGTACAACACTATTTCAAATGATATCATTTGGAGCCAAAGAAATAAGAGAAGGGAATTTCATGCCTACTTTTAAAATCCAGAGTCAAGTTTATCATTTGATTGGCAGTTTACTTCCTGATCCAGAAGACACTCCTCAATTTTTACAGATCTATTTCATGTCTGATCTGACCAGATATTAGCCTGATTGAATATAAACCCAACTTTGAAAAGGGAACTTTGAAATATTGCAGAAAATCATGCAAGATAATAATAATCTTATTTGGAGTTTCAAAATTAACACAGGTTTCCACATACAATATGGATTTTCCACAAATAATTAATGAACAATTAGTTCAAATTTTGGAAGTTCTATATGTATATAAGAGCAGGCAAGAACGCAACAGAGGATGCTAGTCCTAAATGTAATAGTCTTACCTCTTATTGAAACAGAAAATTGTTGTTATTGTAAAAAAGTCTGGGTAGATATTCCCCATTTTTAATTATTATTCAAACATTCACCTACTCTTTTTATTTAATATCCTTTAAACATTTATGTATATTTTCTTTATCTTTTTATCATCGTCAAACAAGGCATTTCATAAAACGTTTGTTTCAGAAGCCTCAATTTTGCTTTTTTACCCTTCACCAGTTGATAAACAGAAGACAGGTTCTGTAAAATTATATCCAAAAATTTAATTGTTCTTTTTTCATTCAATTTTCATACAGATCTATAACTTCCATATTATATTACTTTCTCTGTTTAGTTATCATAATTGATTTAGTATGTTTTAATCATTTTTTTTATAATAGTAGACTTGAGAAATACTATAACTATAACAGATGGACTTGTTTCAATAAGGAATTACATACATATTAATAAAGTATAATATAATATATATATA